AAGTTATCCCCCTCACAAACAAAATTGACTTGTTTTTGGATTTTTTGAGAAAAAAATACCCTGGCCGTTATGCCTTGCGGAACGTTTTCGATGGACCACCCTGTATTAACCAAATTTTCAGTCATCCAAGTTGAATAAAATACCTGTCTTATACTGAATAATTAGAGGCTTAAGTTTGGAGTTAATTAAAAATAAAAAATATATTTGCAGGAAGGTCTGTTTTACAAAATTTAAACCTATTATGACTGGTATCTGACATGATAAGAAGATATAGTTCTCAATATTATCTATACTGTTCTACAAGTACTAAATCTTTAACAAGACCTTTGACCACCGACCTTTCTCAAAGTCCATTGATTAACAATGATTCAAGAAGACAATCCGAGACAAGGGGATAAACATTTGACAAATGTATTCAGGGACAACGGCACGCTCAAGTTCAAGAAGACGGCCCTTAAGAATTAAGTGAAACAACGGCTGTCCCTTTGTTATTCTATTCCCTATATTATGATTAAATTATATTATTATATATCCCCTATATTATGATTAAATAAACGATCCAGTATTGTTCCGTCCCGGAAATTCTATTAACCACCGACCAGTGGGTATTTACTATAATTATTTACTATAATATAAGGAAATATAAGGCTCATTTAAATGTCAATTAAAAAATATATAATTATTGTTTGATCTAAAAAAGTTTGTATAGAATAAAATGAGTTTTTTAAATTTAAAAATATTATTTTAACAAATCTCATGTAATAACTGTTATTCGGGTACAGAGAGTTTAGTTTAATACAAACAACTTATAACAGAAACATGATAATCCAGATTTTGATTTTTTAGCCGACCAGACCAACAGTTATAGTAGGTTATTAAGATCGGCAGAAAAAGTTTTTTAATTTCCTTCAAAATGAGTTATTTGGGTTATAAGTGACCTAAATACAAAAAAATTTTATGGCGTCTGTTTGTCTGTCTCTCTATCCGTCTCTCCCTCTATCTGTTAACAGGATAACTCAAAAACCGCTCAATCGATTTTAACCAAATTTGGCACAAAAATACTGTGGCACCCGAGAATCTGGCCCTCAATTTTTTGTGGGGGTGAGGGATTGGTAAGGGGGTATGGGAGGGGGTTAAAAATTTTAAAAAATCGTAACTCCAAAATTACAGTAGCCAGCGAAACGCGGTTTTCAATTTAAGATTAGGAATAATATTTGCAACAAAATTTGTAATAACATCAAAGTCGCAGTTTTTGAGATAATTGAAATTAAAAGAACTGCCTACCAAATTTTTATTAATATATTTTAATATGGGCGGCTATACGTTCCTCCCGGCGCCAGTTTTTTTTATAAAATGTTTATAATAATGTAGTTGTTGAAATACAAAAATCTAATAATAATAAGTTTAAATTTCTGCTTTGTGTTCGCCAAAACTATTAACTTTTTATCTTTCTAATTAGCTTACAAATAAAATTACATTTTTAAAAACTTCAACACATTGTATTAATAAAACTGTTACCACAATATTCATTAGATTTTAATCATATTTTTTTTTGTTTCAGGTAAATAACAGTTGCAATAGTTTCAGTGAAGCAATATAAAGAAAAATCGCCATGCATCTAGGAACACGTGTTAAGTACTGTAATAGCTTTATCAAATATTATTTGATAGTAAGTTATAATAATGAATTTATTTAACATATATTTTTAAGATATTATAGGGTATTCCAATAGGAAGTTTCGGATGTTGATAACAAATAAAATAAAAGTTTCATAACAAACCTATAAGTTATTTATGGCAGTGTGTAGCTGGAGAGCGTACAGGGTGGTCGAAATTGGTCTGTTTTAACAGAGAAAACCTATTTCCTGACTAGATAGAGCAAAACCGACATAGATAGCATGGGCTCGATTTTTGAGACACGTTTAATGGCATAAACCGCATGTTGATATTTTCACTGCATATCTTTTTGATTTTTTTACCATTTTGAAAATTGCCTATAACTTTTTTAATTTGCGGAATAATAAAATTCTGTAAAGCCGTTCTTAAGGCACCTTTTTCAGCACAATCCAGTGGCGTAGTCAGTTTTTTTCTATACTTGCTTTTTTTGTGAGAAATAATGAAAAATATAATTATTTAAATGAAAATCATAGTTTGCTATGAACTTAAATAAATGCTGACGTATAACCCTTTGCAACGATATAAAGTTATGGGTATTTATTTCTAACAATGAGAGAAATATTAGGGTTTTTTATCTTTGTATCGAAACGGCATTTGATTTTGTGTTGACCTAGTTGCCTAATTATTTTTTATCGCAATTTAATATTCTGTATTATTATTTATTTGCAAAATTAAAAAATTTTGATACTTTTATATTAGTTTTACCAATTACAATTAAAACAACATTTAATTATACGATCAAACGAACTTACCTGAAGTGAAGTTCGATCGTAATTATATGAGGCGTCCAGTCCGAATGTATTATCTTCCCACCCCTCCCGTTTTGCCCCATGGTCGCTTGAATTAATGAATAAATCTTTGAAAAATGAATACCGACCTCCGCGCCAGGTCCGGCGCCGCCACCTAGGCTGGTAGCGGGAGGGAATTTAGCTTATAGCTTTAAAATTGTGCACGCAGGGACGGTACTACGTATCGAAAAATCAAGATAATACATTCGGACTGGACGCCTCATATAATTACGATCGAACTTCACTTCAGGTAAGTTCGTTTGATCGTATAATTATATTCGCGTCCAGTCCGAATGTATTATCTTGATTTTTCTGTACGTAGATGTTTAAAGAACTGATGGTTGCAAATTAATGAATGCGGTGCAGAAAGCATTTTTTTTTTGAGACAAAAATAGCTGAAATTATAAATATGTTTATTGAATGCAACCAAGATGAAACCAATTTAACGGCCATCAATACATGGATTTATTAAATTGTGACAATTTAACATATACATATATGCATACTAAGCAGAGACAGAAACCCATAAGATGGCACTTCCATAAAGGATTCTGCCAAAATTGTTCAATTATACTTTATAAACCAGTTAACTCATCGTGTCGATAGAAATCCCTGTCTCAATGTAGAACTGCGTGGATAACTCGACTATAGTGAGGTTTAACCGATATATATATTTTTTAAGGTGTTTCTAACCCAATGCTTAATATTTAAAAGGCCTTACTTTTTAAGCCATTAATATTAGATAACATTTGAATGTTAGACTTTGGTAGTAAGAAATTAAGATTCTCAATAATTTATTTTCCAAAATGCTTTAATTACGTCGATGAATTAAACCAGAGTCATCATATAAATTAGGTTTCGATCCATACATTAGTATGGATATTGTAGGACATTGATATAAAGTAGACACAGATATTGATCTGTGTCAATTTTATACCAGAAGTTTTATTATTATTTGTATTATTTATTTATTTATTTTTTTTTTTTTGTTGATAATTTTCAGTAACTATGATATGCATATATAATTATATACTGACTAAAAACAAACTGACATCTGTCTCTGATAACTAAGGTTAAACGTGAAACCAATATATGATTTATTATTTTTCATAGCAGTTCACGGCAAGAATTATATAATCTATATATATATACGTAAAACTGCAAGAAAACTATTTCTACTTTATGATTTAATTGATATGTCTATTCTTTCCGAAATTTCTAGATAAGAAAGTAGAACTGTTAGGGAACATTTATGGTAAAATTTTAATGCAGTAAACCTTAGACACATCCAATCTTACAAAAGCCTCTTTCAACGAGAAACCATCCAGATATATTTAAGAAAAATTCTGAAAAAAAGTTTGCGAAAGTTTACATTAATGTTATTATAATCATCTCTTTCGAAAGTGTATTGTAGAGGAGAAAATATATATTATATATACTGTAAGCTGTAAGAAAAAACTAACTTTTTGTTTCGATAATTTGCACAAAGTCTGTCACTTTGTCAAAATGTATAAAGTATTGGCCAAAACACAACACTGCTTTTATAGACCGAAATGGGTAAATATAAACTCTAAATGTAGATGGTGAGTATTCCTATTCCAACATATGAAAGTCAAAGATTTACATAAACAAATTAGCATTTAACAGCCGTTATCATAAGGACCTCCTTTTGAAATGAGACATAGTTACGTGTTTCTTAAGATTTAGAATAAAACTTAAATTTCCATTAGAATAGCTTTAGCCAAAATAGAGAAATTTCTTTAGCCAAAATAGAGAAAAATAGGAGACGTTTTTTTTTTTTTTTTTTTAATATATATATATATATATATATATATATATATATATATATATATATATATATATATATATATATATATATATATATATATATATATATATATATATATATATATATATATATATATACATATATTATATATTAGCTATTAGCTATGAAAATCTAGGATATTAGCTATTTTATTAATATATACATATTTGAGTTATTATTATTAGCTGGTCAGCTAAGTTTGATTACTTTAATGACTTGGAGGTCAACGTTAAGTTGGTTGTCGCCTATTTTATGGTAGGAGGCTGCCCAGGCAGCAAACTGGAGGGTACCTAATGAATTGGCCGCTCGTGCCTCATGTATCCCCTTCTTTTTCAAAGAAGGAAGGTAAAGACATATTCGAATATCTGTCACAAATATCTGAATACATTCCGTTGTTTGTATGTTTTCCTCTAAGCAAGGTTCAAACGTAAATTTATCCAGAGGTCCTTCTTCCTCATGATTTTCATTTGAAAATCCTTCAGAGGAAAAAATAGTTGATACCTTTCGTACAAGATACCGTCAACCACATTAGGACTATGCGTCCGGTATCTATAACAACCGTCCATATTTGTTCCATGATATATTTATGAATATTTTTCTCTTCTTTTAAAAGAATATTGAGTCTACGACGACTATTGTTAAATTTTATAACCCAGATATTTTTTTTTTTTTTAAGAGTTTGATTTCGAAAATATGCTGGACTTCATCTTAACAATTATGACACAGGAGAGGATAGGCGACATGCCATGGCTCCTTGGTAAATTAGGGAGTTAAAATATTTTCTCAGATATAAAAGTTGGACCTTGTTCTGTGCTGAAGCCAGATCATTGGCTAAGACTGAATTCGTCTCCCGAAGAAGAATGTATCATCATCGAAGAGTCGAATGTTTTGTAGTCTCTTTGGATTGCCCTTCCCCCAACAAACTGCACAAATCGCTAGATTTGGTTATTTTCCTCTTCCTAGTTGCTGACCTTGTGTTCGATCTGTTATGAGATAGAGGCACTTAAATAACGACTGTCCTGCTTTTTGAACGTACAGCCTTATAAATATAATGTGTGGAGGAGTTTTCCTGTTGAAATATATCGTTTTTTTTTGAGGGTCTAAAATTTTTAGATTTATCACTTGAAATTCTTTTGTGAAATCTACTTCTACGATACCGAGACCGAGAACGTCATTTATAAAGGAATCCCTTTCACACGGAGAAGGGCATTCACTAAAATTAAAAAATTTGTATCATTGAGACAACAACACTTCGGTTATTATAATATTATCTCGATAGCGGGCTCTGGAATATCTTAAAAAGGAATCCCTCTCACACGGAGTAGAGGATTATCTAAAAGTACTAACCTTTGTCTCGCTATGAAAAGAACACTGGGCGAAGAACAGTCCGTGTTTATACAATATTCCTCATCCCTTTGTTTTCTCCTTTCCTCTGATCCCCACATTTCGGGATGTACTTCTATTTGTTTCCATCCAATATTCGTCTTTTTTCATTGCTGGGAGATAAAACACTTCGGCATTTATAGTACTCTGTTGATTGCGAGATCTAGAATCTCATATAATAGGAATCCCTCTCACGAAGAGAAGGGCATTCTCTGTAAGTACGAAACTTTGTCTCACGAAGAGGACAACAGTTCGATATATATATATATATGTTATTCTCCTTTTTTCTTTTTGTCTAATTCCATTGTTTCCTCCTTGCCTCTAATTTCCATATTTCGAAATTTGCTTTTACTTTAATTATTTCCATCCATTATTTAGTTTCCTAAAAATAAGTATTATAAGATACTCACCGGTAATACGTGTGATTAATATCTCGATAGGGGATATCAACAATGACTTATAAAAGGAATCCTCACACGGAGACGGCCATTCAGAGAGAAAATGAGAAATTTGACTCCCTGGGTGATACAACACTTCGGCACAACTTCGGTATTTATAATATTCTCCTTGATAGAGAGATTTAGAACTCATACAATAGGAATCCCTTTCACGAGGAGAAGGGCATTCTCTATAAATAGGAAACTTTGCGTCACTGGGAAAACAACAGTTCGATATTTATAATATTATTTGAAAGCCAGATTTCTAACCTCATATAATAGGAATCCCACTCACGAGGAGAAGGGCATTCTCTAAATAGGAAACTTTGTCTCACTGGGAGCACAACAGTTCGATATATACGATATTCTTATTGCTTTCTCCATTTGTCTACTTCCATTGTCTCCTCCTTGCCTCTAATTTCTACATTTAGAGATTTGCTTCCACTTCAGTTATTTCCTCCATTATTTAATTACCTGAAAATAAATATTATAAGATACTTACCTGTGATACCTGTAATTTATCTCTCGATAGTGGGATATCAATATTGACTTATAAAGGAATCTCTCTCATATGGCCATCTTCTAAAAGTTCGAAATTTGACTCACTCGGAGATGCAACACTTTGGCATTTATAATATTCTCTTGACTGCGAGATATAGAACCTTATATAAATGAGAATTTCTCTCACAAGGAGAAGGACATTCTTTACACGTACGAACTTTGTCTCACTGAGAGTACAACAGTCCGATATATATATATTCTTATTGTTTTCTTCTTTTATCTAATTCTAATATTCCGTTATTTACGTCCACTTCGTTTTTCTCTAAAAATAAAAATTATACAATACTTACATATTGTTCCTTGTGTTCTACCTAGCTGTAGAACACCGTATATTACATAGTAATATCCAAAATGAGTAGAGAATAAACAAAATGGCTTCATCGATCTACGACGAAGAAATCAGAGAGCTACGATCCGCACTGCACCGTGCACGAAAGACGAATGGATACCGACCTCCGCGCCAGGTCCGGCGCCGTAGCGGGAGGGAATTTAGCTTATAGCTTTAAAATTGTGCACGCAGGGACGGTACTACGTATCGAAAAATCAAGATAATACATTCGGACTGGACGCGAATATAATGGAGAATTTAGAGAGAATCGGATTGGAACAAGAGACCCCATATCTTGACCTGCTAGGTCCTGTGATTTAACTTCTTTCGTTTTTTTTTTATGGGTAAAAGACCTTATATATAAGGGAAGAACCATTGGGACGAGAGAAGAATTATTCCAGAATGCTACTAGCACAGAATATCTAGCTACGCAACAGAAAAATACTCGAAATGAAAGAGCTAAAATTGCACAAATAAAATACTAGATGGCGCGACAATATCATAATCAGAATATAATTTGAAATTTTCAATTTTCGGTTTTAGATCGACGGTTGTCGACGGCACGTCGACGGCCTTGAAGCTCGGCTACATATGCACAGTTGCCAGATTCAAAAAGACTTTAATTGGCATCCCATTCTTTTTCTGGTGTATAATAATTTCTTTCTATTCTTCGTTTCTTGTCAGATACACTTACATTAATTATTCGTTTGGCTTTTAAAATAGTTTAAGTTTAAGTATATTATAAGAACATATGTTCACAAAATACATTTTTAATATATGTAATACACTACTATGGTGCCCGGTGGCGTAGAGGTACAGGCTCTCGTCTACCAATCTCAAAGTGTGGGTTCGATTCCCACACCCGGCATTTCATCAGCCGACTATTTTTTATTAAAAATAAAAATAGTTTGGGTACCTAGGTCGACTCAGCCTTAAATGAGTACTTGAGATTCACAATCCTGAGGTAATCATAGGCGGTTGAAGCGTAGTGCTAGCCACATTACCTTCCTTGTATACCGAACGGCTCTAGTATAGCAAGCTGTACCTTCCTACTTCCAAGGCGTTAAACGCTATATATGGGAGCTATTATATTAATACACTACTTTATTATGTTAACTAAGAAAATAACTTTAATTATCTTTAAAATTAATAATATACTGGGCGATTGATAGTGATATTTATTAATGGTGAAACGTTAGTAATGAAATATCCGTTTGTTAATAATGGAAATAATTTATTAAAATGCAGTATAAAAAATGTTAATTGACTAAAAATATACTACAATAACAAATTTCTTCTGTTGCCAGGTTATTTATATAGACCTAGGTAGATTTTAAAAAGTAACACAGGTACAATTATTAATATATTAGATCGGCATAAAAGTTTCTGTCACGACATCGTACAATAAATTAAAATTCGTAAAATAAATTAAAATTATTAATTAAACAAATCTTTATAAAGAAACGCCAGTATACCAAATTTTGGCCCAATCGAACTCCAGGAGATGATATCATAATATTGTACTATTTTATGGTACCACTCGATATGCTTCATAATATTGCAATATCACCGAAGATCCGTAGTGTACCAAATCTAAGCACAATCAAACGCCAGGAAATGGTATCGTAATATGGTAGTATAAGTCGGTACCACTTTATATGCATCATAGTACCATCATATTACAATGTCATCGAAGATACGTAGTATACCAAGTTTAAGCCCAATCGAACGCCAGGAAATGGTATCGTAATATGGTACTACATTATGGTACCCCTTGATATGCTTCATGGTACCATAATATTGCAATGTCATAAAAAATACGCAGGTATAATCAAATATGAGCCCAATCGAACGTCAGGAAGTGGTATCATAATATGGTACTATAGAAAGTACCGCTTTATATGCATCAAAGTACCATCATATTACAATGTCACCGAACACACGTAGTATACAAAGTTTAAGACCAATCGAACGCCAGGAAATGGTATCGTAATAAGGGTAAGGTACTACTATATTATGGTACCTCTTGATGTACTTCATGGTACCATAAATTATGTCATCAAAAATACGCAAGTATAATCAAATATAAGCTCTCTCATTCTTAGAAATAGGTACCCATAACTTTATATCGTTCCAAATGGTTAAACATCAGCATTTTTTTAAGTTCATAGCCAGCTATGATTTCCATTTAAAAATTATATTTTTTATTATTTCTGACAAAAAAAGCAAACATAGAAAAAAATTCACTACGCCACTGGATTGTGCTTAAAAAAGTTCCTTAAGAATATCTTTACAGAATTTTATTATTCCGCGAATTAAAAAAGTTATGGGCAATTTTCAAAATGGTAAAAAAATAAAAAAAAAAACATATCTGAGTTGGCAGTGAAATGTGTTTTGCTCTATCTAGTCAGGAAATAGGTTTTCTCTGTTAAAACAGACCAATTCCGATCACCCTGTACAATTATAAGTGGAACACAATATCTGCCAAATGGCCACTCTCACTTCTCTGTCATAAATACAAGTGACATAAATATGTTTTAGGTATGTTATAAAACTTTTATTTTATTCGTTATCAACATCTAAAACGTTTTATTGGAATACCCTTTAGTTATATTATTGTTCCGATATTAAGTATTATAAAAAGTAATTGTAGTTTAGCTGTATTATAATTAACTATAATTTTAAGAGTTAATCTATTCTAAATCTAAAAATTAATTTTCCTAATAAGTGCAATAAAAAATGAGAATAAACTAAATTATTTATAACCTGTAATACTACTGAATCAGAATTCTAAGCAACATCAATCATACTAATATAATGATACGCTGAAGTAATTTTCTTAAGTAAAAAGTTCCATTTGTACCTTTAACTGATACAAATCACGTATTTTACAAGCCATTTCCTTTATTTCTTTTAACTTCAAGTTTATTTCTTAAAACAATGGATTTATTTTACATACCAAACATCCTTAGCTAATTGAAATATCAATAAATATTTATACTGTTTGCTAGTAAATTTATCTTATACAGGGTGTTTCAAAAAACATGTGCCATCTCTCGTGGGGAGATTCCTCACGTAAAAATAAGATTTATTTTTCATATAGGTCCAATATAATAAGTCCGATTCTGCTATGTTTCGTAGCTACAGGGTGTTAGTTTTAATATTTTTTCGATTAATTCTAATTTTCTTCCAAATGTTTTTAGCGATTCTAATAAAATTTTGAGGATTAAAGTTACTATAAATGCGACATATTTGGATGCATATTATCACTAGAATATTTTTCTAATAAAAGTGTGTACGCCACTGACTTTCTTTTCTCTTTTTAGCGCAACAGTGTAAGCAGTTTAATACCGATTAAAAGTTGTCTCTTGATATTTTGTCGATTTCGGCCTCCTTGATAAGATAAACGCAATTTTATTAATTTACCTTGTTTCAAATCTTTATCTTTTTTCTTTTCTTGTTCTCAACCTTTAAGAAATGTTAATATCATTAACTTGTGAAAGCTTTGAGTAAGTACTCATTGATTCCTCATCAAAAAATTTAAAAAAAGGTCATAGAAACATGGGTATGGAAATGCATAGTTTTATAGTTACAGGATGTAACTATAAAACTAATTTAGTTTTTTTTAATTATCTTAAAAACCATTAATTGTTATTTGAAACCGCTGTAGGTTAGACTAATAGTAAAAATAACTAATAATAATAGTATTTATTTATTAATAAATTAGGTAAACTATATAATTTATTAATTTTATTTTTATTTTAATTTTATTTTAATTTTATTAATTGTAATTAATAAAATTGCGTTACTGTGATACTCGTCTGTGATACTCATATCCAACTGTGATACTGTGATGTAAATAATTACTTATTTTTCTTATTGTTTGTTTTTTGTTGTCTATTTTTTTGTGTTTAGTTTTTTATCCTTTTGTCA